TGGAAGTAAGATCATATAAAAATAGCTTATTAATATTTTTAATATTGACCCCATGTTGGGATGATGCTATTTGGCACATTTTGGGTTAAATAAAGAATATTAAAATATTTTCATCTTTTTTGTGGATGTGTGTGTGAGAGAGAAGGAGACAGGGAGAGAGAGGGAAAGAGGGAGGGAGAGAGAGTCGCTGGAAGATTCGGAGGTCTGCCTTGTATATGCTGAGCTGGCCACATTCAGTCCTTCTTTTACATGTTTCATTTAAGCTGGCTACTAGAAAGTTTAGAATCCGTTGCAAAGCAGAACGGAACATAACTATCATCCAAGCACTTAGAAAGTGAAGGCAGAACAGGAGGAGCTCAGGGCCAGCCTTAGCTACACAATAAGTTCAAGGCCCAGCCTGGGCTACCTGAGACACTGGCTCAAAAAAAAAAAAAAATCAAAAGTAAAGTAAAATAAAAAACAAAACAAAACATGCTTTCTTCTTTTTCTTTCTGTTGGATGGTCTAACCATCAGTATTGCATTGCATGCAGGTGGGCATAGGGTGAAGCTCCTAAACATGAATGCACTATCACCTGTAGAAACCTGGTTCCGGGGAGGAATGGAGGTGGGGAGAACTGGGCCACCCCAGGTGCTGGAACCCAGAGCTGATCAACAGGGTTGAGGGTGGATGCACAGGAGCAGGAGAGGAGGATTCTGAGGGAATGGCCTTGCCTGTGAAGTTGACACAGGCAAGGCTTTTCTGAGAAGAGGAAATGCTTCTATCAGAACGCCCGTGGGGAAGTCTGTAGGCATTTTCTCGATTAATGATTGATGTGGGAGAGCCCAGTTTGCTGGGGGTTGTGTCACTGATGAGCAGGTGTCTGTGGGGAGCAAGCCAGTAGCACCAGTCTTCTATGGCCTGTGATTCTGTTCCTACCTCCAGGTTCCTGCCTCGGTTTCCCTTAAGGAGGACTGTGCTCAAACATACAGACCAAATAAACCCTTCCCTTCCCCAATTGCTTTTGCTAGTAGTGACTTTATCACAGCAATAGAGACCTAATGAAGCCACCAGCTATGGTGGTGCACATCTGTAATCTCCACACCTGGGAAACTGAGGCAGGTTTGAGGCCAGTCTATGTTACACAGAAAGACCACGCCTCAAAAAAAATTTTTCCATGTTTTTTCTTTAGTCTCATGCCAGAGTCTCCTGGTTTTCTAAGTCAAAGACAGCTGACACCCCCCCACACACACACAGGTAATCTAGGTCTGCCCTAGGCAGCGTCCTTGGTATGTCCGTGTGGTCCCTAGGCTCTGACCTGTCCCCCGAATCACAGGTGTAGGTGACCAGAGCCTAGAGGTCCTAAGAGGGTTGCATCTCTGGGAGTTGGAGCCTGCTGGCCTGGCCGGCTAGGTCTGAGGCATCAGAGCCCCCAAACTTTTGCATCCACATTTGGATGTGGACTTTTCAGAGGACACTGCCGCAGCTGTGCCAGCTCTGGACCTCAGGGGCTGTGCCAGGTGCACCACAGGTGCACGTTTAGCTAGCTGGAAGTGACAGCTGGGAGTGTGAGGGACGGCATGCTGGCGATGAAGGGAAGAGTTTGTTACCAGCCACCTCCCGATGACTGGTGTTACAAGCACGCAGTTCAGTTAGGCCCCCTCACTTCGTGCTGCTCATTACTTAAATGTCACCTCCAAGATGCCAGAGGCCCTTTATTTATTCCAACTTATTTTTATTATTTAAGAGTGTATATGACTGTGGATTCCAGTGTGTGTGTGTGTGTGTGTGTGTGTGTGTGTGTGTGTGTGTTACCCGAGGAGACCAGAAGGTGTCCAGTTCCCTGGAACTGCAGTTACAGGCTGTTGTTAGGCATCATGAGGATGCTGGGAACCCAGCTGGGATCTGCAAGTGCGGCCACACTGCTCCACCACCAACTTTTCTCTCAGTGTACAGTGTATGTTGTAAAGTAGATTCCAGAGGAGGTTTCTCTGCCGAGCTCGGCAGATGTGTAGATGTGTGAGCTAAATAAATGTCTGAAGGCCCAGAGTTTGCATATGGTTTTTTTCACAGCAGCAGAACTGGACCAGAAGTCTGGGATCTCAACCAAACTTTACACTGTCCTTGGTGGTCTTGAGGTAGAGGCAGGAAGATGAAGTGTTCAAGGCTATCCGTGGCCACCTAAAAGGTTGAGACTAACCTGGGCTACATGAGACCTTATCTAGAAACAAACAAACAAACAAAAAGAGCAAAAAGAAAAAGAAACAAAGAAGCACAATTCTTTGAATTTTCCCTATGAAATGGAGAAATTTTTCAGCCATTCCAGAAGACCATTAGCAAAATAAATGAGATCATGGGGTGATATAATCAAGACTTCCAACTGTTCTAGAAAAAGCATCAACCCTCCCTATATTTCTTCAAAGTCAACATTGCATTTCTAGTTCTACTTTTTAGGTTCATTTTTAAGCTATGTGTATGAGTGTGTCTGCATGTATGTATATGCATGTGTGTATGGGTGCCCACAAAAGTCAGAAGAGGGAGTTAGATCCCCTGGAATTGGAGTTATAGGTGGGTATGAGCCACTCAATGTGGGTGCTAGGAAGTGGACCAGGGAACCCCAGGAAAAGCAGCTAGTGCTCTTAACCAGGCTTGCCTAGAAGCTTTTTGACCATTGTGTTGCACACTTTGACTCCAGCACTAAGGTGGCAGAGGCAGACAACTGTCTGAGAGTTTGAGGCCTGCCTGCTCTACATAGTGAGCTATAGGACAACCAGAACTAAACAGTAAGACCTTGACTCAAAAGAAATTGTTTATTTTGTGTACATATGTGAGAAGGTGAATACGTGCTTGCCATGGTAGACATGTGTGAGGGTCAGAGGACAACTTTCTGGAGTCATTTCTCTCCTTCCACAAGGTGGGTCCTAGAGATGGAACTCAGGTTGTCAGGCTTCCTAGCAAACACCCCATCCTGCATGGGGGCTCCTTAAGCCGGAGGTAAACAACAACAAAAGAGTTTCAAGAACTCCCTGAAGCTGACCAGATTCACTAGGCCCCTCCCTGCCAGAGTAAACAGGGCCAGGCTGCAAGGAAGACTCTCAGAGGAGAAAAGCTGCAAAGAGGAGTCTGTGATCAGAACTGCCCCGGAGAGGTTTAGACCAGAGTCACCTGGAAAGGACACTCTCCAACCTGCTGAGCTGCCTGCAGGTTTTCCAGCTTCTGTGAACTATCACTCATGCTGGGTGGGCCTTGGCAATGCAGTTGTCCTTGAGTCATTTCTGCTCCTATAAGTAACCCCTCACCCATATTCCTGTAAGTAATCCCAATAAAACTTGTTGATTCACCAAGTTGGACTTTGGTGGTATCCGGTCTGCAGTGGGTTCCCTATATGGGATGAGTAGACAAGTATGTTTTGTCTCCCCAGGAAAAGTTTTATCACACAACACACCTTTACCAACTAAGCCCATCTTGCTGGACCCCTAATAGCATTTTAAATGTATGTATGTATACACACACACACACACACACACACACACATTCTCCAACTTAAACTCAGGTTCTCTTCCATGCAAACTAGAAAGGTCAGCTGTTGAACTGCACCCCTCATGATTACTTCCTCCCCCAATAACTTTTGTTTTTGATTTGGTTTGGTTTTTGAGGCAGAGGGTCTTAACTGAGAAAGTATAGTCCAGGCCGCTATGACCCTCCTGCTAGAAGCACAGCCATGAGTAGCCATGCCCAGGAAAAGTACCTTTAATACTTTATTTTCTTAAAGGACTTTTAAAAAGAAACACACATTTGACTTTGTGTGCTAGAGACTGAACTCAGAGCCTCCTTCACACTGAGCTTTGGGACTCTGCTACTGAGCCATACCTCCCTCCAGTAATTTCTTTTTTGTTTTGTTTTGAAAAAGAGGGTCTTGCTATGAACCCCAGGCTGGCTTCTGGTCCTGAATTTTCTTGTCTCGGCCTCCTGAGTGCTGGGATATTAGACGTGCACACCCAAGACCATCTAATGGAATTACACTGTCATCAGACTCTGAGACTCTGAATAAGCCTCCCCCGCCTCCGGCTCCCAAAGATGTGCAGGCTACCAGATTGTCCCTTTCTCATCACAGACACTACCTCAGACCACAGGGTTCGAAGCAGAGCTGGTCCCCAGTGCAGCCACTACCGTGTTTACAAGCTCTTTCTCCATGCTCTGACGTAACCCCTGTCCTTGCCATCCTTCCTTAGGGAGAATGACGGCTCTGCTTGTTTTTTACTTCAATCTCTTGTTTTAAAAATTGTCTTATTTATTTTTTCAAGCCTTTTCTTTCCTTCACAGTGGTGGCCCACACTTAAAACACACACACACACACACACACCAACCAAAAAACAAAACAAAACAAAAAAAACCATAAAAGCCAAAATATTTGCTGCATTGGTCTCTTACTCCCGGGAATTGGGAATTCGGAGGTTCTTTTTTTTTTTTTTTTTTTTTTTCCCTCAATTTATTTTTGTTTAGTGTTTTTAGTTTGTTGTGGAAACATTTCAGTGATATATGAGGAGCAGCCCCGCACTGCCTCGGGCATCTTCTACCCCCTACACACGTGGGGATGTGCTGATGTCACCAGGCGCTCCCAGTTCTCCCATTTCAGCGGGCCCTAGGCCGCGAGCCTCCTGGTTGGAGCACTTCTGGAAGAGAATGGAACTGCCTGAACGGTTGCCAAATTTAACTCCCTAGTCTTTGCTACCGGTCCCCTGTGGATCACGAGGTCCCTCAGTTCCTCGAGGGTGGATTCTGGAGGCAAGATCAGAGTTGATTTCAGGGTCCATGCCTGGATTGAGGGACCGGTCAGCCTCCAGTTCCCAGCCTCAGAGAGAATTAGGCAAATCCGACCCCTAGAAGGCACAGACACCGGCTGGTCGCTTGCACCCTTGTCCAGCAGGCAGCTCTGCTGCTCCCGCGCCTCCTTAAAACCGCAGCTCCGCCCCGCCTGCCCCGCCCACCCTCGGTTCTACCCAACCGCCGGGTCCCGAGCTACACCGCTGAGCGTCACAAAGCCACGAGCCCGCAAACAGCGCGCAGACCTCTGCGTCCTGGTGCTGGATCGCGCGTCCCAGCTCCTCCACCACCACCCGCCACCATGTCCAGCGAGGAGCTGGCCCGCAAGCTGCAGCGCCGGTTGAGACTAGAGGCGTTGGCAGAGACCGACCAGGGCGCCCGCCAGCCTGCACCCTGCGCTGCCACAGCGGGGGACCGGGAGCCCGAACTGCCTGCCCGGGAGCCCGCTGCCAGCGCGGATTCCGAGCTGAGCGCTCAATTGAGCCGCAGACTGGACATCCACCAGGGCGCAGCGCGGTCCCGCCGCAGCAAGGTCTTCAACCCCTACACCGAGTTCCCGGAGTTCAGCCGCCGTCTCCTAAAGGATCTGGAGAGCATGTTCAAAATGTGAGCGCTCGTCCTGCGCCCCCGAGGAACGGGAGGTCTGGGACAGGGCGAGGGGCGGCCGCGCCGTCAACGGGACGTGCGGGGAGGAGGTGTAGGGATCCAGGGATACACTAAGCATCTGTCCCTGAGCAGTCAGATCGTTCGTTCGCACAGGACTTCATTGCGCGCAATTAGAGACCTAGCCAGGCTAGGGATCTGAGAGTTAGGATCCCTGTGTCCCGAGCAGAGCTCCAAAGTTCCCACTACAGCCCCCTCCCTGGAATCCCCTGCTCCTCAGGGAGGGGCCCGGCCTCCTCCACACACACAGGTCCAGAGATTTGCTTCTGAGCAATTTCTAGGAAGCAAGCCTGGGGCGCACCTCACCTGCCAGTCTTAACTTTTTCCCTCAGGGAGAAATTAGCTGGATTGCTCTATTATCTTTTAAAACAAAGGAGAAAGTTAATCTTTGTCTTCCGCGCACGCACCGCGTTTGAGGGATGAACCAAGGCTGAGAACTTGGTTGAGTTAAACTCAAAGAGACACGGACCTGGCCCAGATGGAGCCAGGAGCCACCTGAGGGCGTCGCCTAGTCAGCTACCCCTTCCAGCCGGTTGGGTTGCAGATGCGGCTGACTTGGGACCGGTTCCCGCTACTAGCTACTAGTCACTAGGATGGTGGCTGCTGGCATCCGTCCGGATCACCCATCAGAAGAGGAGACCCCGTGAGTGGCCTGTCTTGTAAGAGGTCTCTTCTCTGGTCTCATTTCCCTACCTGAAGAGGGAAAGAAAGCAGTAAAGAACCTTTTTTTTTTTTTTTAGTTTAGGTTTGTTTTCTAAGTGAGATGTGGTGACACTCAGATTTCATCCTAACATTTGGATTTGGAAAAGTAGAGGCAGGCGATCTTTGTGAATTCGAGGCCAGCCATACCTGCACAACCACACCCTGCCTCAAAAAAAAAAAAAAAAAATCACATTTATTTACTGTGAGTGTGTATGAGTGAGGGAATGCCATGACACACTCGCGGAGGTCAGAGGACAACTTGTGAGAATCGGTTCTCTTCCTCCACCATGCAGGTGATGGGATCGGACTCAGGTGGCCAGACTGTTAGCAAGTGTCTTTACAGGCTTAGCCATCTCGCCGGCCCCACCTTTGCCTTTTAAGGTCACAGAGTAGTCTGTACACCGAAAATGCCTCACCAAGCTATTAATATTATTTCCAGAATTGGGCCGAGACCGGAAAAATGGCTGGGGGAGCGAAGGCCGCTGGCCAGGTCATGCTTGGGCGTCTTTAGAAGCGCTTGGAATGTGTTTGCCCTCTGCAAGGAGGCTCTATTTAAAGTCACTGTGGCGAGCCCCGCCTCCACTACTCATGCGCCTATAATACTGCCTCTGACACCTTGATCTCTGTCCCTGGCTCGAAGCCACTGTTTTCTGGGTCCAGTTTGGGCACCTCGGGAAGGTGGAGTTGGGACTAAAAAAAGTAAACTTGAGCGAAGGTGGAAAAGCCCGGTAACACACAGTAGCTTGACAGAGCCCCTAGTGATTGATGTACTGTGGGTTTTACATTTCGTGGGAAGGGCTGCTCTAGCCTGGATGCTCACCCGTGGCAATCCCTCCAGTCCTGGCAAGCACATCTCCACTTTGTTCTTTGGTCTCTCCAGCTTCCAAAACACTCTTTGGAAGGTTAAGTTTATTAGTCGGCTGCCTACTAGGTATAAAGGCAACCGGATCTGGAGGCCTTTTGGGCCCAGCAACGTTAGCCCTGGCACTGGCCTGGTACTGGCCCAGCATCAAGCTAAGTGTGTGAACTAGTGTTCCAGGAGAACCTACATCCTGAACTATGTGTGCAGGGCATTTCTATAGAGCTATGCTGCCCACCTGCATCCTAGGTTAGATCTTCAGTCACTTGCAATAAACTTAGCATAAACAAAGGGGCACTATCCGTCTCCTAAAACAGGGCAGGCTTCCGGCACGGCTGGATCTGAGAGACTGGGGTGATGATGCAGTCAGTCATGTTTCATTTGTCTTTTCTTTCCCTCCACTCTCCCTCCCTTTCTTGTTTTTTGAGTTAGGGTCTTTGAGGCTCAAGCCAGCTTCAAATTTACTGTGTAGCTGAGGCTGGCTAGCTCCTAGTCCACGATGCTCCCTTCTCTCTGACAGGACCTCACTCTGTAGCCCAGGCTGGGCCTTCAACTGTCAAAATTACTTGTGTACATACATGTCCAACATATTCTTAATTTTTTTTATTGTTTGTTTGTTTTCGAGACAGTTTCTTTGTGTAGCCCTGGCTGTCCTGAAACTCATTCTGTAGACTGGCCTGGCCTGGAATTCACAGAGATCCACCTGCCTCTGCCTCCTGAGTGCTGGGATTAAAGGCGTGCACCTTCCAGTGGCAGAAGTATGGTTACAGCTGCTCCAGAAAAGTCCAGTGAGAAAAAGTAGTCACAGCATCAGCCCTTTTTAGGGAGGTGTGTGTGTGTGTGAGTGAGGGTGTGTGTGTGTGAGTGAGGGTGTGTGTGTGTGTGTGAGTGAGGGTGTTTGTGTGTGTGTGTGTGTTTGTGTGTGTGTGTGTGAGTGAGGGTGTTTGTGTTTGTGTGTGTGTGTGAGGTTGTGTGTGTGTGAGTGAGGGTGTGTGTGTGTGTGTGTGTGTGTGGGTGGGTGTTACTGCTTGTTATTGGCTCTTAGTCAGGTACTGTGCTTAGGGTGAATGCATTCCTCTCATTGGCCAGGACTTAGTGCCATGCCTTCCCACCAGCTCTGCCTACCTACCCTAGGCTCCCCATGCCTGGGAGAAACAGGCTCAGCTCAGGCCTTCTAAATGCCCATGACACTCAGTACTGAAAGTTACTGTCCCCAGCTGAGTTCATTTTCCCATGGATGCTCCTGCCGGGTCTTCCATGCCTGAGGCAGCAGGAGCTCCATCCTCTTCCTCCCCTCCCCATAGTTAGGGTCCCCCAGTCTGTGAGTTCGCTGTGTAGACTCTCCTAATAAACTCTGGTGTGAGCCCTCATCTGGCCTGCTGCCCCAGGGAGACATGAAGCCCTGGCCAGCGGTGGGTGAACACATTTTCAAGGGTCCCGAGGTCAGATCTGCCCAGTGGCTCTCTCTCCTTGCCAACTGCTTTCTTCCATCTTGAGCTGCCTCGGTGTGGCCAGCTGGCTTCCCAGTCCTTCACTGTCTATCCCATCAACTGGTGTGTGTACGCACGTACAGGTGTGTGTCTGTGCACTGCTGCCCTTACCCAGGCAAGGGCAGGCCCTTCCACCCTTCTGTTGAAGCCACTGGACCTTGGTGATTTGTAGATCTGCTCTGGCCTGGCCATATCACCTGTCCTGTGGGTTGATTAGTGTTCCTTTCTCTCTGCCTACAATCCTACATGACTTAATTTTATTTATGTATAACCAGGCTGGTCTGAGACTCATGGTGTTGTTCCTGCCTCAGCTTCCCAAGTGTCAGCTCTGTATTACTTTTTTCTTTTCTCTGAGACGGGATTTCATATACTGTAGGCTAGCCTTGAACTCACCATGTAGCCAAGTTTGACTTTGAACTTCCTGATCCTCCTGCCTCTTAAGTGCCAGGGCCTACAGGCTTGTACCGCCACATCCATTGATGCAGTACTGGGGATCAAGCCCAGGGCTTTGAGTATGTTAGGCAAGTATTTCACCAACTAAGTCGTACCCCTATCCTTATGCATGACTTAAAGAAAATATAAAACTGTCTAGGTCCCCCTGAACACCCACATGCCCTCTAAGCCCCACACTTTGCCTATAGAGTGCTGCCTTGATAGTTAGCTTTGGGTCAGACAAGGAACCTTGCAGAAGGTCTGGGGCTCCTGTGACCGGGACTCCCCCTGGAGATCAGTGCATTCGAATCAGGTCCTCTCTGCTTTCCTGACCTGAGAGTCTCATCTGCTGGGTGGGCCAAGTTCAGGTCCCCCTTACCACCCCTCTGCCCCAAAGCAGCTTGCTAAAACAAACACACAAATACCAGAGTGTACCAACCTGTCTTTAGTTGGAGGGCTTCCTACCTTTTCCTCCTGGCTGACCAACCACTCTGGGAGGTTATGAGGAGCATAACTGTGATCAGGACTTCTGAGGTTCAAAGCTGGCCTTACCTCCGCTCTACAGGAGAGTAAGTGCCTCTGGGAAGCTAGCTTAAGCTTTCTTTGTGTTTGGATGCGAGGCATGGATGTCCTGTGGTGTGTGAGGAGCAGTTCACTAATGTCTGTTGGGAACACTAGTTGGGTCAGTTTCAGTCACTGACATCCAATTTGTATTTATTGCTTAATATTCTCCTTACTATTATTTGCTTTTGGAAGTAGCATCTCAGTCTGTAACCCAGGCTAGCCTTGGATTCAAAGCAATCTTCCTGCCTCAGTGTTAAGTGCTGGATTATGGAAATGAGCCAACACATCTGGCTTTATACACAGATTCTTAGATGATTACATGGCTGTCATTTTGTCCCTATGAAAATTGGCACTGCCCTTGTTTAACGATATACTTCATACACTCCTGGAAGTGGGAGGTGACTGACCCTGAGGGGCCTTTGCTTAGCTATTTGTCTTTCCTCTTCCGGTCAGTTTTGGCAGCATCTCGCTGTGAATGGACTGAGGGCTCCCAGCACCGCACCCAAAGACAGCCTGCTCTTAGAGCTGTGTTGTGGTGGTCTGGTCTTTCTGGGGTCAGTGGTCTCTGGCTCAGTGTCCCACTTCCCTGAGGCTTCCAGAACTCAGTTTCATACCCCAGGTGGCTGAAAACAGACACTTTTGATTCTTCATAGCTCTGGAAGCCAAGAGCTTTTGGTGCAGGTGTTGGCCATGCTCTGCCGGCTCTGCAGGCTCTAGGCAGATTCTTACTGCCTCCTATCTGTCTATCTCTGTCTCTCTCTGTATCTGTCTTTCTCTGTCCCTGTCACTCGGTCTCTCTCTCTCTGTCTCTCTCTCTGTGTGTGTGTGTGTGTGTGTGTGTGTGTGTGTGTGTGTGTATGTGTCTGTCTGTCTGTCTGTCTGTCTGTCTTCACATG